GTTTCCAGCAGTGGCTGAATCTGGACTCCTGGAACAGAGCAGCTGGGGCGCTGCGGGGACCAACCCGGCAGCACCCCAGCTGCTCTACCCCAGGCGTCTGTGAGAAAAGCCTGGTCTGCTGGGGGGGCGGGTAGGAGGGGGAATAGCTGCTCCTCCCCTCCCCTCCCCCAGCAGACCAGGGAGATGCGGAGCAGCTTGGAGGACGCGGGCGGCGGGACCGCGGCGCGTCTGGGCGGTCCCGCCGCCCACGTCCTCCGGAGCGAGAAAAGCCCAGTTCGTAAGTACGGATCCGACATAAGTCGGATCCGCGTAACCCGGGGACTGCCTGTATTCCCCAAGTATAAGACTTTGCACTATCAAATTCCATCCCATTTCTATTACTCCAGTTTTCAAGGTCATCCAAATCTTCACATATGATATTCCAGCAATACCTCCCAACTTTGTGTCATTTGCAAATTTTATTAGCACACTGAGTTTGACTTGCACCTCAGATATAGGAATTTCTACTTGCGTATCCACATTTCTATCTGCAGCTGCTCCTAAGAGCCTTATTAAAGATCCCTTCCTCAGTGCTTACCAGCCCTACTTATTTACTTGTTTTCCTTTTCTGTATATGGCTATAGAGACTTTTACTATTGGTTTTAATTTCCTTTGCCTGGTCCAACTCGACTTGGTCTTTGGCAGTTCTCTTTTCATCCCTGAACTTTCTGACCTCCAAGAGAGCTTTCCTTACTGAATCCTCACAGTTTCCATCCCTTGTAGACTTTCTGCTTTCTCTTAATAACCTGTTTGAGATGCTTGCTCTTCCAGTTTGGTCTGCAACCCTTCCCCACAAATTATTTCCCCTTTCTTGAAATGCAGATATCAGATACTTTAAACCAAAGTTGTAGTATCTAATTCCAAGCCCCCACCACATTCAAATCCTTGAGTTCTTCAGTCCAGTACTCTTCAATTACTAATTTCCTTTTTTTTTTTTTAAAAAAAAAGTCTGCCCTTTTGATATCAAGGATCCTAGTTATCATCCTCTTTTTGTTTTTCCTTCCATTTTGCTTTAAATTAATTAGTTAATAATGACTCATATTAGTGACCTCAGCTCTTCTATGAACTCCTCTTTACTTATCAACACTAAAACTGAAATAACCCCTCTTGTTTGGTGAAAACACCTAATAGCTATCACATCTGGGAATACCTTGGCCCTACCACTATTAGTGCCATTTGTCTTTCAATCTATATCTGGGAAATTGAAGTCTCCTATCATCACACAATTCCCAATATTTATTTCATTAAAAATATTATAGAGGAGTCTATCCAGATTGGATCCTGGGAGTCTGTAGCAGATCTCAAGCACTACTCCAGGGGAGCCTCTGTTAGCTTTCTTCCCCCAAATCACTGTGCCCCCAACAGATTCTATTTTATTCATTCCATCACTTCTATTTTTTTTTCTTTTTTTTGACATTCTACCTCATCGGTAATATACAATGACATTGCACCACCTTTATCTAGATTTCTATCCTTGCTACCCAACACATACTCTTTGCTACCTGTATTCCAATCATAACTACTATTCAGCCACATTTCTGCTATCCCTATAATACAAAAAGTTATGGCCTGAAATTGTTAAAGACCAGTTCTAGTACTATTTATCTCTGGAACCTGAAATGTCTACACTGGATATTAGAAAAACTATTTCACTAGAAGGGTGATGAATAGGGTTGCCAGATGGTTTAACCAAAAATACCGACACACGCCCCCTCAAAAAAAAAAAACCACCAGGAAAAAAATCTGTTGAGAAAAAAAAAGGGGGGAAGGCAAAAGGTGTTGAGAAAAAAAGAGCATCCCAACAGCAGTTATTAAGCGAAAAATAAAATTAAAAAATCAGCATGGCCCCTTGAAGAAGAGGCTTTTTTGCCAGCGGCCTTCTTGTTTTTCTGTTTCAGCCACAAGACAAGCCCCTACGGAACCAGGTAAGTGGGGGGCGGCCAGGGGCCCCTAGCAAGCGCTCCGGGGGACCCGGCGGGGGGACCAGGGGCTGAGCACAGTTGTTGAGTATATCGTAGAGTTGCCAGGTGTCCAGTATTTTCACGTCCTGGCAGGGGGAAAAAAAAAAAAATCAGAAAATACCGAACATTTTAGGTGTCTGGTACTTTTGTGAATTTTTTTTTAACCGGACAGGAGGCAAAAATACGGGACTGTCCGGGTCAATACCGGACACCTGGCAACCCTAGTGATGAAACACTGGAATGGGTTACCCAGGGAGGTGATGGAATCTCCAACCCTACAGATTTTTAAGTTGTGAAGTGATTTAGTTAGGATTGGTCCTGCTTTTAGAAGGGGTTTGGAATGGACAACCTCCTGAGGTCTCTTCTAACTCTCTGATTCTATGAGTTGGGTGATATTTCTAGGAGTCATCATGCTTTTAAGACAATTTATCATTGCTTGCTGTGTAAAAAGGTATACAGCTACCGAAGGAAGCATAGTGTTAAATGAGGGCTTAGGTGCTGGGACAAATATGAACTTAAAACTAGGAGAGAGGGTGAGGTAGGACAAAGGAAACCATAAAGAACAATGCTGATTAGCAGGAAGTCTATACAAAGCACAGTGTAATAAGGATACAGGGTAGTAACACACACACACAGCTAGACTTCAAAACAAGATTCCCAAAAATTGACTAACTTGTAATGCCTCACTGAAGCAACAAAACCAAACTAGTATTCCAATTCCTGCCATAATCTGCACTATGTACACAATTTCCTCCTCTGTTCACTGGTAGTTGATTGGTTTTCCTCCCCATAGCTAGAATGGTACAACACTGTTTTAAATTTCCATGGACTGTTGTATACAAAGATTCAACAGAAAGAATCTGGAAACTGAAGTCATTTATTTGTTGTAAAAGTATAGCAGCCACCATTTTTGCTGATTTTTAGCATTGTAGCTGATCTA